TATATGGTTAAGCGGTCATATCTGTGAAGCATTTTATTTAAAATAGAGTACAAAATTCTCTTTATTATGTTGTCACTTTTAAGTGTTTTTTAATTCAATTAAATGAAATAATCGCCTGGAAAAAGGGCGTGCAGTCGGTAGGCGGCTAATAAAATTATTTTTAAAAAATAATTTGATTAAAATTAGTGAGTAAAAAGTCGAATACGAGGTTTTGTCACGCATAGTTACAGATAAATTTTAATTAAAAATCATATGACCTGAAACTGAAATAAAAATAATAATTTTTAATATAATTTGAATAAGCAGATGATAGGAGCACTTCTTTATTAAATAAAAGCATAATTAATTACCAACTGTTTATTATTTTGCAAAGTAGATATTTCCTCGATTTTAAATTTAATTAGTAATTTAAATACAGAGTTTTATTTTATCATAAAATAAATAAAAAAAAAAAACCAAGTAACAAATATTATATGCCTCGAAATTTTCACGTGCTTGCTTTGAATTAACTTTTTAATTAAATTTAAATTTTGATTTGTTTGTTTTTTTTTTTTTTTGTTATTCTTGGTTCCAAAGTCGATTTTATTGAGCAAAAGTTCAATACTTTAAATTGTTGATAGTTGTCTGCTTTTGGATATTTTGACTTTCAAAAGTAGATTCAATATAATCAAAGAAACGGTACTAAAATATTTCAATAGAAATTATATCGGGTCCCTTATTTTCAGCATTAGCGATAATTAATTAATAAATATTATTAACCGGGTAGTTAGCAGTGTTAATTACCCGGCTACATCTACTGTTAAGTTTTCCTATTGATTAATACATTGTTAGAGACTAGCTTACACAAAAGATTTTATGTAACTAAAAATATTAATAATAATAAATATTAATATTATTTTTAAACTATAATTAAAAATATTTTTTTTGTAAGCAGCAAGATCTTTTATAACTTATTTATTTAGTGCATTTATTCTTAAAGCCATTATATGGGGGCATATAACATTAATATTAATACTAGTCCAGTGAATAGTGTTTTTTGTAGTTTCTTTCTACCATAATTGTAATCTTTTTAGAATAGGTACACAGTCTGCCTCAGATCCAATCTTACAAGTTTCAAAACAAATACGAAGCACTTATGGATCCCATATGAAATATGACAACCACTCTATATCAATGGTTTCCAACCTTCGAACACTAAGTTTAAAAATAATAAACTGTATGATTATGATTAATAGGCTTTATGCATCTCTGGCATAATATAAAATAAATTGTATAAGTGCATTGGTACATTATATAGGCTATGAAATAGGTGTACCTATTATAACTTGGAAATTTTTTGTGCTCATATCTTATAATAAAAGAGGTTTCAGTGGACAAACTATAAGCTATGTATTTATTCTTCTTAAATTAAATTCACAAATCATTATTAATCATATCGCGTACTACCGGTTGAAAACTACTGCTCTATATGTTTATTCCAAATTATTTCTATTCGTTTCACTTAGCACTAGAAATGTTGAGTGAGATTTCGGATACATTTTTTATAGTCATTGTATTCAGAATTGTGTTTAGTATATCGGGCAAAGCATTTAAAATGACGGGTATAGTATCAATACAATTTTTTTCAACTTCAATCTATTATTGGGAATTGCTAAAAGTTATACGGAGTCAAATCAAGTAAATACAGTAGATTAACGATGAAGATAATGTCTTTTTTGTTCAGAAATTTACTTATGTGTTGCATTGTCGTGCAACAAAAACCGAATAAACTGATTTTCTGACCGAATTATGACTCACAATCATTGTAGAATTCCCAGGTAATATTTCCCATTAAATTTTTTATGAAAAATTTTTTGTAAATAATTATTTTTAAATTGAACAAAAAGCATTGTTTCGATATTATTTTTCTGAAAGCATAATTTTCTTTCTTCTGGCTTTTCTGGTTATTCTTGAGACTTCCATGCCCCACATTATCGATTTGTTTCCGTTGACTTGTATAGGAAACACCAAGCTGTATCATATTTAAAATATTAATTAATTAAGAATTAACGTTGACATTACAGAATAAAGCCACATTTTGATAACTGTCTACTAAAATATTTTTAATATTTAATAGATAAAATGAAATTAAAAACAATATGTAAATTTTTCAGTGTTGTTGAGATTTATATACATTCTTACTTACACATAATCGCATATATTGTATTTATAATAATAATAATAATAAAAACTATTCTGGCAGCACCAATGGCGGTGGTCAAAAAGAATAAAATAAGAATGTCGTTGAATTGCAGTGAATAATAAAAAACAACTTTCTTTAGAAAACTTCACACAAAACATAGTCAATGTTAAACATAGCATATAATATAACATATATATAATACAAAATATAAAATATATAATATAGAAATCCATATATATATAATATAGAATTTATATAATATAGAATTAATATAATATAGAAATAATATAACATAGAATTTATATAATATATAACTTTTTATACTCAGGAAGTGCCGGTAAACACGATCTAGGAGTTTCAGTAAGATATATAACTTAGAAATTGTTAGATTTTTTTATTTTATATACATTCAGTACAACTTTTATCCAACGAAATCATGACAATAAAGAAATAATTATGTTGTTTTTAGACAAGAGCCATGGTATCTGTGCTGACGGGACACTGTGTTACAGGAACGCATGCTATGAGATTGGATTTACCCTATAATGATTTTTGTTGAGGTTGTGACACTGAAAATGAGAAGGAGACCGTGCTCCATCTTATGTGTTAGTGTTTTTCTTTAGCTATAAGAAGGTTGAAAATGTTAAGATGCCCTTTTCTCACCGATCTGACTGAGCTGTCATCTTGTAAAGGTAGGGACCTGTCTAAATTTATAAAACTGTTAGGTTGGTTTTCCTTTACCTAATGGGGAAGTTGTTACCTTTTTAGGCATTGGCTGCATACTGATTTCAATTTATGTACGTACCTATGCTATTCGTGTGGTACCGCAATGGGCCACCATTTGAGCGCAAATAGGCTTTTTGGAAACAAGGCTGCCACTCCAACCTACGTAAGGGCTAATTAGTCACTAGTAAAATAATACTCTGTTTAAGTAATTGTTTTTTTATTTTTCAAAAAAATTTTTTTTTGTTTTTCAATAATTTTTTTAAATTAATACTTTGATGTTTAGTCTATATTTAGGGTACAGAGTATCTTTATTTAACTGTGTATTAAAGTGTATTATTTAACTATTCACCAATTAGCCCATTAAAAATTAAATTATTATTAAACATTTTTTTTTGTCATTAACTCAATTAATTATTATAATTAAAAAAAATCGTAGTGTGTTGTGTTACTCTCTTAGGTGAGAAATCAGGGTATCAGGCAATCAAGGCAATTAGGGCAAGGCATAAAATTGTATTTTAAAATTATATTGACGTATTTCATATATTTTAAAATTGTATAGATTCTTATTTATTAACTTATTGTTTAAATTACATTATGAAATAAAAATTCTTATAGACGTTGCACATGTCACGTATGGGGAAGCCAATATTTGCGGTTCGTCATTTCATAATTTGTGTTTCTCATGAAATCAGTAAAAACCATTTATGAATTAAAAAAGCCGTGAATTGCTATCTCTCGAGTTGGTTCGTACTTTTTTATACTATTTTTTTTTATCTATTTATTTAAATTTTTTTAATTATTTTCTAATGAAATTTTTCCTTACTCAATCGTTTCATCGTTTTCGTCTAAGTTTCGTAGCACTGTGCTGCTGTGCGTAGTGCCGTAGTACCAATGGATCGAATTTGCGGTAGACGTGTTCACATGAAAAATTTAACAAAAATACTGACTGTCATTGTGACTCATCATTAGCATCGCCATAATTATTACCGGCAATACCAGAGACACAACACTTCTGTCACTCTATCCAACGCCAATGATTTGTGTTTCCAATAACAAAAAAAAAAAATAAAAAAAAATAAAATAAAAAGAATTGAGAAGCTATCAAATCGTATAGTATTTAAAAGCGAACGAGTATTTCACTTTTTAATCGGCGCTCTATGAGCTTAGTGACAAAGCGCGTGACTTAAGACAAATCGGAATCGATTGTAGGTGACTACCCGTGACTTAGAAACTTTCAAGAGCGCATTTTTTTCTTTCGACTCAAGTTTTTGATTTATTTTACAAAATAATAATTGCCGCTTTTCATATTGAAATAATCTCGTATACATTATTACTATATATGTATATATATAATTTTCAGTTTTTATTTTTGAGTTCTGAGTGTTCTTAGCTTTTCGTTCTCTATTTACTTTTTGTATTAACTAAATATATTAATTCACTCATTTATTTTAATTTTTTTATTTTTATTACTAATTTATTTATAAATGTTTTTGCTGACATCGAGTAAAAATAATTTAAAATTTATTTGCAGAAACATGAAGGCTTTCTTTGTACGATTTTTAAATTACTGGTTTTTTAATACATACATTGTGACCGAAAAGTTTCCGGAAAATTTTAAATAAAACGCAAAATTCTTAATTTTCATCAATATTTATTTTATCTCCTTCAAAATATGCTCCATTAGAAGCGATACACAAATGCCAACGTTTCTTCCAATCATCAAAACATTTTTTATAGGCGCTTTCCGGTATGGCTTTGAGTTCCCTCTGCGAATTCTGTTTTACGTCTTCTATGGATTCAAAACGCGTTCCTCTGAGTGGTAATTTGAGGTTGGGAAACAGGAAAAAGTCACACGGTGCAAGATCAGGTGAATACGGTGGCTGTTCGATGGTATTTATTGAATGTTTGGCCTTAAAATCGTTGATAATGTTGAACAAATTGAGG